ATGTTCAACCCTCCAGGAATAATAGATAAATATTCCTGGAGGTATCGCCGGTCTGAGGTATCTAAGGGACCCCCCATTGCATCATCATCTTGTATGCCTGGGGGTGATGTACATCAACAAGTTTTTGATGGCATTCACCTTTAGCGCGCCGATGCGGATCTCAGAAGCACGGTTGCTGCCATCTGCAACATTGACATTGGAATTCTGATTGTCATCCTTCTTGACAGCAGCACGTCTTCCTTTGCGCTTTTTTGTCATAGGCGCTTCAATTGCGACCCCCTCCACATCAACCTTGGTCTGGTAGCCCTTCAAAAGTTTGTCCAGCACACAACAAAGCAACTTGCCGTTGTTCCTCCGTTCCTGGGGGTTGTCCCAAGCGAAGATCTGCGAGTAGTCCGTCCCCACTTTGTCCTGATGAAATCCAAGACATTGTGGCAAACAACACCTACAGCAAAATGCGTCAGTCTAATTTAGTTCCATCTATGAGCTGCATCTGCGAGTCAACTAGGACATGTTGACATGATGGAGCAACAAACCACTGCGACTGCAAACCATTGAAAATCTCAGCATCAGCCCAAGTGGCAGCTACTCCAAAATGTGTCACCAACACCATGTGCGTCCATTGCAGGCTGCTCACTGGAGAGATATATGCAGACTTCAAATGTTGGCGAAATTTAATCTCTGATGAGATTCTGGTCATCCATTCCTCCCTCAAACAGGGTAGGCAAGCTACAAAGGCTTGCATAAATTCGAGGGCATGGTCATCCTTCTCAATCTTCCCATCTTGGATGGCCTTCCGCATGAGACACCACCTGGGCCAGTTGACCAAAAAACAAGTATTTGGTAATGGCAAGCATTGACAAGTGTTTGACGATGAGACAAGTATTTGGCAATGACAAGTATGGACAAGAATTCCGCCCAGCCACACGAGCTTCACACTGAGTCCACGCTTCATACCTTGCCCAAATTTCAACTTGCACATTCCAGGCAAAGTGTCCCTGGAAATCAAACATTCCTCCACATGAAAGCCAGTGCTCAGGATAGAGCGCGCGACGCCAATCAAATTTCGAGCTTCTGCTGAATGCCCAGACCTCAACCAGATTAAGGACAGCTGACAACTGCAATAAACCTACCCGTGTATTTGCATGGAAGTGCAACAAACCTTTCAACTCACAACTGCAACAATCAATGCGTCCAGGATACCAGAGAGAAGCTGAGTCCCACCGCCATTGATGAATGACAGTGACGCCCACTGCTCCTTGTCATTTCCTGGCCAGCATTGACCTTGACCCTGGCCCACTGCAATGCCACATCTTCATCCTAAGCAAGCTTCAGCCAGCACATGACTCCATCACACGATTGAACACCAAGAGTTAGTTGGTCAAAACTACAAGCCCACATGCAGCTAAGCTCCTTCCCAGACAGAGCTCCGTACATAGTGGCAATCTCTTCAACAACATCTGGCATCTCAACTGGCAACGGCAGGCTTGCTATCTTGGGTGCCAAGCACTCACGCTCATCGTTGGCTTCCTGCCAAGCAAAGGTAGCAGCACTAACCAAAAAGAAACAACTAACGCCGATCAAAAATACAATCTGTCCTGGTTCAACCTCAAAATCTGCTCTTTGATAATCGTACACCAAGGCGGCAATTCATCGGCGCTGTCAGCTAGCATGTTGAGAGTGGATATAACGGGACTGGCTCCCGTGAACCCATCAAAAGCCGCTCGTAATGAAGACATCGCAAGACAATGGACACGGCTGATACAAGATTCCAAGAAAAGAAATCCAAACAAAACATAGTTCCAGCTGAACTGAATAAAACAACATTCTGGATCAGAGCGCCCCCACAAAGTTTTCACGGACGTCAGGCGCTGCGGACCATAGGATTCTGGACCCTCAAGCTACTCAGAATCCTATGGCAACTGGGAGTTGCCATAGGATTCCCCAGGGTATATGATTTTTTGCGTGTCAATATACAGCGCTTCCCCCCACTGACTATCCCTTGTGAATCCTATGGCAACTCCCAGTTGCCATATGATTCTGGCACATTCTGCCTACACTAATCCTACGGTTGGCAGCCAGGTGCCTTTTGAATTTCCAATTCCAAAACCTAGCCAGGTCTATGGCAACTCCCAGTTGCCATACGATTATCGGAAATTGGCACCCCAAATCCCAGGTCTGTGGCAACACCAAATCCCAGGTCTACGGCAACCCCAAATCCCAGGTCTACGGCAACCCCAAATCCCAGGTCTACAGCAACTCCCAGATTGTCTGAAATTGGCACCCCAAATCCCAGGTCTACGGCAACCCCAAATCCCAGGTAAAAAAAGAAACTCCCAGTTGCCATAGGATTGTCGGAAATTGGCACCCCAAATCCCATGGGGTTCCCGTAGACCTAGGATTTGGGGTTGCCGTAGACCTGGGATTTGGGGTTGCCGTAGACCTGGGATTTCGGGTTGCTGTAGACCTGGGGTTTGGGGTGCCAATTTCCGACAATCCTATGGCAACTGGGAGTTTGGGGTTGCCGTAGACCAGGAACGACTCCCTCCCCCATCTCCCTCCAAGCCCTGGGCTACTTCAGACTGGCTGCTATTGGCGGCCGGAACCAACTGCCCCGCCAGGCGCCAGCGCGCCCGCTTCCGAGCAAGCCGAGGGTGTCCTATAAGCCTGGTTCCGTCGCCAAAGAGTACGGATCACGAGGAAGATTCCTATTTCAATGAGCAGCACAGAAGACGAAGAGGCATGCTCCCCCACTGAGGACACGGAGCGATCCAATGATGACGCCAACGTTCGCCCTCACCGAGGTGAGCGAGGGCGAGCCAGAGCAGGATGAGAAATGGCAGGGGAGGGGGGTGGGGAGGTGAGGAAGGGAGGGGGCGAGACGGAGAGGAGGTCTACGGCAACCCAAACCGCAGGTCTACAGCAACCCCAAACCCCAGGTCTACACCAACCCCAAATTCCAGGTCTACCCCAAATTCCAGGTCTATACAGCAACCCCAAATTCCAGGTCTACAACACCAAATCCCAGGTCTACAGCAACCCCAAATTCCAGGTCTACAGCAACCCCAGCTGCTGGATTTAAATGGGCTGAAGTCAAGCTGCTGAGTGATAAGGTTCCTGGTCAACAGAAAACTCAAAGTACGATGCAAATGTGGAGTTGGAACATGTGCAGTGCCTGAGGGCCAAGCTGCCAAATGCCAGATTCAAATCGGAATGCCTGAGGGTCAACCCAAGAACTGGGTATGATCTGAAGCTGCACAGTCCCAGTTGTGAGATTCAAATGCAAGTGCCTAATAGGCCAGTTGCCAGATGCATAGCCACTTGCCTGAAAGTCGAGCTGCTAGATAATTAAGCCAGAACGCTGGAACTACAGCAAAGCAAAATGTCAGATGCAAATTGTCAGTTTTCAGATGAAGGTGTCACAGCACAGCAGGAACCTGGAACAAGAATTCTATTTTCAAGGCAATCTTAAGGACCACGGAAGCAGTACTCCGCCAACACTGAGCTCGTTTTGGGCACTGCGGGACACTGCTGCTCTGAATTTGGCGCTACTTCCAATTCACCAAGATCGCCAAAATAATGGCCGCGAATATGTTTGAAGTAAAGGCGTTGCCAGCCAATTCCTGACTCTTTTTTTGGTCAAGTTCACCAAGACCTGCTTTCTGTACTTCTTCTGGGCCAAGTCCTTGCAACCGCAAGTGGAGGTTGCCAGTCACATTGGAATTGGCGAAGCAATGGCCTTGAAACACATATAGGTACTTCTTGGGAGTAGGCAAGGGTGACAGGTCGAGCTGAAACGGACGTAGTTGACGGAGTCCCCAGTGTTTGCCACCAGGCAATCCTGGTCCAAAGGATTCTTCCGCAATTGCAGGGCAAGCTTCAGGATCGCGCATTCAACCTCCCGCTCAGTGAGGTCCAACTTGTCCTTCTGCTGCACCAACGCCTTCTGAACTTTGCGCTTCATCTCTGAGTCCTCGATGTCCCCTTTTTGTTTGAAAGCATCATGCTGTTGTTTCCACAGAGGTGGCTTCTTGTTTTCTTTTTGGATGTCCACCTTTTTTTGTCATTTTGTTTTTTACACCTGACATCTCACCAGCACGCAAGGCAAACTTGGCATCTGACAAGAACTTGGCAAGAACATCTGGCTTGTCAACTTTGCAACTTGCAACAAAATCCCAAACTCTTTGCACCTGCTTCATGTGAATCTCTTGGCCATGTGCACCAAACCCTGCACTTCGCATCACAAAAACACCATATGTTCTTGATCTGCTTTGTGGGATCCCAAAGTCACGAGTGTTGACCAGGTTCCATGAGCCAGCGTATCCTAGCTCTGACAGTTTGTCTGTTGCAACTTTTGTCCCTTTTTCATTGACAGCCTTGCGCATCTTGTCCAGTGCAGCCACACACTCCAGCATGATGAAGCGCGGTCTAGCATCCATGCCACATGAAGACAACACATCTAGCATTTCCATGAAGCTGGAGCCGCTTCTGCCCTCTCTGTCCAAGATTGAGCAAGGGGTGGTTGTCATGGAACTGACATCATCACATTCAATGGCTCGGATCAAAATGTCTACATTGGGCTCTTTCAAGCCATTCAGCTCAGCTGTCTTTGCTTTGAACAGTGCAGGCGCAGCATGCTCTCCACCACAACTCCGATGCACTTCCTGGCAAAGAGCTCTCTTCCACGCCACCATTTCACTGTAGAATACTGTTTGGCAAGCAACTGTCAATCCAAGTATCTCTGTGATCTTGGCCTCCAAAGTTTTTGAAGCTATGGTGCACGTTGCCATCCCAGCGCAGAGCTCACCAATGTTCAATGTGTGTTCACTGTGATGTGATCGCAAATGATCAACATCATTTGAGTGCAGCTTGTCGACAACCCAAGTCACATACCTCATCAGGTTCGAAGGCGTATCAGGACTGGCTTCACCTTCTGTGTCAGAGGAATCTGTTTTTTCGTTTTTCCCCTTTTCGGCACTTCCATTGCGCTTCTTGTAGTCGAACTCTCTTTGTTTCTGCTGTCTCTGATGTGGCTTCGCTGGCAGATTCATCGACAGCAGCATCAGAACAACCACGGCTCCCACCGCCACCATGACCACGGCTTCTGACACGACCGCCACTGCGACCGCCGCCAGGACCACCGCCCCGATGCGCCGAGAGGCAGGGCGGCAGGATGGCGCCGCCTCTGACTCAGAGGTTGACACACTGCCTTCTGATTCCTTCATTTTGATCCATCACAGGGAGGATCCCTGGTTGGGTAGATACATCGCTATGGATACGTCTTGGTGGACGGGTCTCCATAGATGGGTATCTAAGCTTCATCCAGGAATGGATGTGTCGCTATGAACACTGCTCACACTTTGTGAGTTTCCAACGCAACAACGTCAAGGCGACGTACAGAGACCATCACTGCAGAGTGCCTGTGGAAAAGGAAGAGTACACAGAGCGCTGTGTGAGAAGCACTCTAGCTAGTAGAGATGTACACATGTAATGTACAACTATAATCGTCCGCAGACGAGTTGCCCTCGTCCGAAGACGGGGGGGTCCTGCGTCCGCAGACGCCTGAGTCCGAAGACAAGGTCGACATATATCGTCCGCGGGCGAGTTGCCCTCGTCCGAAGACAGGGAGTCCCGCGTCCGCAGACGCCAGAGTCAGAACAGCTCCCATGGCCACACGCACGCTCTATATATACTTGCCGTTGTTGCTAGGGGGCTCAGGGGCCCTTTTGGAAATGGTACAGCCATCATTGTCATTCATTGTTACATGCAAATCTCAGGCAACTTGATCCCATTATTACTTCTTAAAAACCTTTAACAGTAAAATCCTTTAACAGTTATTAAATTTGTAAATCAAAACTGTAGAAAATGTCACGACACAAAGGCAAAGTTAGAATTAATTGGTGCTGGCTAGAAATGTAAGACTTCAGTTTCAAATGTAAGACTGGTGTTTTCAATAAAAGCCCTTGAACATTAAAGCATGATTAGCGGTACATTATAATATTCAATTTCCCAAATTGGTCTATCAATGAAGATTTCACTGATACATACGTACAACAAACTGACAACTGACATTGTTCCGATGATACATGAATCCGCATAAGGCCGCCGTTGTGGAATAAGAGCAGCACGCGAGCAGCCGTTTTACCTGCCTGCCAACTCTCATTTAGTGGCTCATTGGCTCAGTCGGGTCATCAGCAAGCTGTTCCAGCGACATGGTCTTGAGGTCCAACTTTGCGCGATCTCGAGCTGTGTGAGCACCATTCAGCAACCTGCGCATGAACTCCAAGGTTTCTTCGAGCTCATTCTTGGAGATGCCAACATCCGGGAGCAATGTTGGATTGTCTTCAAATTTGTCATCAATCTCGTCCAAAGTGCACACAGCCTGCATCGTCAGGGTTGCAACCTGCACCAAGTCGTCAAGGTCCTGCATTTTGCGCGTAAAGGCGACAGTAGGCTGCGCCCGCGCTGCAGGAGTCTGCTCAGCCATGCTTCCCTGTGGTGGATGGGCGACGACGAGTTTGAGCCTATAAGCCGGCGCTTAAAAGTGTCGAGCGCGGCAAGGGTGAGAGTTTGTGTGGTGCAGTGCAAGGGTGAGCAAGCACACTGTCTAACATTTTCAGACCTCGCCGGTCGGAGAGAGAGTTGGTTAGTTCAGGATGCCGCAGAGCTTGTCTGCGCTTGCTATTGCCATGGCTGCAAAAAGGCCGCCAATCAAAGAATCAGCAGCAGGCTGGCGTTCAAACGGCTGTGTCCCACACACGCCAACGCCAGGGCTCAAGTCACTATAAGTAGACCCCTCGCCACATTTCCGAGGAAGCGTTTTCCTCCTCTTCCTGGTCGTCCTCTTTCTTGCCTTTGCCGTTGCGGGGCTTCTTCTTTTCAACTTTCTCCGGCTCTTCCTCCTCCGGCTCTTGGTCCTGTCCATTGTGCTTGTGTTTGCGACCCCTTTTCTTTTCACTTGCCTTGGGCTTGGGTTCAGACGCCTTGCTGCCCTGGGCGAAAGAATGTGGAGCCTTCACGCGAGAGCTCTCCCAAGATGTGGTCCGCGAGAAGAATCTCCAAGCGAGACGCGTGGCTGTCTGTACCGCACACAGCGATCACTTTTGTGCGAGTTGCTAAGCAAGCTTTGCAAAACTCACCTTGCGCCGGAGACAGATCAACAACAGATGTAGCGCAGTAGCTTGCGACCAGCTCTTGGTAAAACTCACTGGGAGACATGCTTGAGCTGAAGACGGTCTCTTCGTTGCCTGCGATGTCCTTGGGGTCGACATCTGGAAGAGTCACGGTGCGCTTGTCGCCCAAGAGCTCGATCTTGTCCTTCCTGCACAAGAAGGAAATAGTGAGAGAGTAGAAACGAAAGTCTAAGAGGGTGTCGAAAAAATTTTAGAATCGCACACCAACCTGCTCATTCTCCAAAGGCTCGTAGCCGGCATCGCAGTCACAAAACCAATGGCGTCTCCACTCGACCACAGCCACTGTAGATTTGACGCGGTTTCTCGGGGAGGATGACGCTGAGGGCCTTGTCTGAGTAGAGAATGAATTCCATTATTTGGGTGTCGGAGTGGGCCTTGACTCTCTTCTTTCTGTCACGAATGCTTTCCTGGCAGAATGTGGTCGACAATGACGAAATGACAGTCTGACTCTAAACCACAGCGGGTTTCAAACTTTCCAAAGTTAATTCCCACCTTGTTGAAGCACAACCACATCGTTTGTGAGCTGCTGTCTTTCAGGAAGCCTTTGGGCAAAATGTTCAACGGGCCGAAAACTGCCGCCAGGACTGCTTCTCCAGGGCAAGTGCACTTCCCACTCTTGTCCTGCTGCGCGCCCAAGCCAATCAAAGTTGATCCAAGCAGCTTCTGGACGAGAGTTTCGTCTGGCCTCCACACTTTGCGCAGGCCATCTTGGCACCCCGGACCTGTGCTTTCACCCAGCAGCTGGTGTCCAGGTGGCACAGGATGCAGCTTTTGCCGGCTTCTCCTCGTGGTAAGTTCTCCTTCTCCACCGCGGCAGTCATGCCGGCAGCGCTGTTTGCTTCCGTCACAAATGCGCAGTACATGCGGACAGTCTGGTTCGCAATGGCCTTCCGGTATTGCGGCGATCCTTTGGGGAGAGTGTTGGGCGTCTTTCGCGCCAACTTCAGCAGGCCGTCGGCAGTCTCTGCTTCAGCAGCGGTTCCCTCCCCGTCTTCGTCGACGAGCTCCATAGCTTGCAACGCGACCTTCTCATCTGCCAGCTCATTCCCTCGCAGGTTCACGACTCTCGTCCAAGCCTCTTGGATCGTCTCCATCTCATTGAGGATTTCAGGGTGGGAGTTTGGCTTCATGCCCTGCTTGAGGATGTTGTCGTATTGCTTCAGGTAGACGACGTCCTGGATGAAGGTCAGGGCTTCCAGGGAGGACTTGGTCAAGGGGCCTTGCCAACCGATATTGTCCACAGTGTTGGATCTGGTTGCGACTGGGTCACGCAAATGCTCCTTCAGAAGGACTCGGTCGGCATCCTTCAGCTTCGCTTGGACACTCATGATGTCCAAGATGTACGAGAGGCAGCGCCACTTGAACTCGTAGAGTCAGAGGTGGATTGCGCCCGGGTTGTTGGCGGATCCGATCATATCTTTCTTGCTCAAGTCATCATCTCGGATGACGCCGTGGCAGAGCAAATCGTCGATCAGCTGGAAGATGAACCGGCGGGAAGCCAAACAACTGGGACGCTGGGCTAGATTTTCCAACTTCACCAAGCTGTTGAAGCAACTGTCGGGGCCCTTCAAATTCTCCTGCTTGTTCACAATCTCGGTGATGGCTTGGTCCGATTGCAGCTTTGTCACAATGGTCTTGGCGGCAGTGAAGTTCCATTCGCAATAGTTGGAAGCATCAACGGCCGAGTGACCAGTGCCTTTCTGCGCGGTCATCAAATGCTTATTCTTCAGGAGCTGCACCACTTCCTGGTCAGACAGCTTGCGCCCCTCCAGCTTTTCCATCAGCGCCTGGACACAAAAAGTCATCGGTTTAAAATCGCGCCTGAAGGTGGTAGAGCTCAGCCGCATTCTGCCAAGCGGTGCAAGTCAAACTCTCGTGCTCTTGCTGAACGAGCTGGCTTTTTTTTCAAGGCATGCACCCACACATCGGCTTCTGAGCAGGCGGTCATTACCACCGGAACTGCGGTCCTCACAAGGATGTCTGGAAAGTAAATAATAAGGAAGGAAAGGAAAAATCAGTGGATTCAAAAACCTTCAAATAATAGCCTAGCATCAAGGCTTCTTTCCAAGCCGCTTTGCAGGCTGCTGTGGCACCAGGCTTGCTCAGGTCGGCAGCAGCTTTCAAGAAGATCGCGTGACAAATTTCCAACGGGGTGATGACCACGAGTCCAGAGGGCTTGTCGGTGAGGCCTGAAGAGTCCACTTGTACTTCCAACAGTTTGTGGAAGAAATTGTTCTGCCGACCTTCAGGAAAGTAGAAATCGGCAAGTTGAGAAACTCGGACACGGTTGAGAGGTACTCCTGGTGCTGGGTTCTTCCAGCAGTCCAGCCAGAAGAGGTTGCGCGAAGAAATGTAGCTGCCATGACACTGAAGTGCCACTTGCGCTTTCGACAGGTCGTACACATCCTGACAGGGTCAACGACGACGATCTACAGAAAACTGTGTGAAACATGTGGCACATCCGTCCTGAATGCCAGACTTCTCACCGACCTTGGCGGCGATGGGCGTGGGCTGGATCTCTGTCAGGTCGGCGCTAAGCTCCTTGTAGATGACAGCCAAGTCTTGCTTCAAGCACTCGTAGTAGTCCTGGATCAGGCGCCCCGCCAGCTGCTTCGGCCTCAGGAAGGTCTGACGGTGCAGCTTTAGCCTTGGCCTTGTTCTTCACTCCGGCCTTCGACTGCTTTACCAAGCTCTGGTCATGCTTGGCTTGCTGCACAAGACGAGTCAGACGCTTCCGTTCATCTTCTCGCAGACGACTCTTTTCTTCCAGGCTCACATCTGCAGACAAACTGGCCTCCCAAGTACGAAGGTCATCCTCCACAGTGGCCTGTTAGGCCTTGTTCAGCCTCCAAGTCGAAGGATGCTTGGTAGGAGCCATGTCGGGTCACAGGGCAAGAGCTCAGTGGCTGCAAACATGCGCTAACTTGAGAAAATGAATGAAAATGAAACGTTTTACCAGAGCCAACAATGAGAACCAAAAATGCATTTTTTGTCAATGTGGATAAGTCCCTGATGCAGCCAGCAACTTTTTG